AAAACGCTTTTTAATATGTATTATTTTGTTAGTGTTGTTGTTGTTGTTGTTGCTGTTGCTGTTGTTGTTGTTGCTGCACACCTCAAACGGCTTGTGTTATTAGCGCAAAAGCGCCTATTAATTCCAATTTCTCAGCTTGCGGGTAAGCTCCAAAGCGAGTTCTAGCGCCTAACGCTCATTTATATTCGACTGCTTATTAAGTCATTTGCAATTAGCAAATCAAAAAATTAACAACTAACCGTCAACGAACAACAATAACAACAACAACAAAAACAAAGAATGAGGATGAGAGTTTGAAATGAAAGAGAAGGGGGAAAAAAAAAACAAAGCGAAATGTAGCTGATTGAGGCACTGTAGCTGGTCGAGGCTTAAGTCTTGAGCGTTTTTGAGCCACAGTTACCGTTTGAACTTCAGCCTCAGCCTAAGACAAATACATACACACATACATATACTATTTAGTTAACTGGAGATAAGTGGTGAGGTGATGAAGCGTTGAAACTGTGGAAGACTTTTGAAAATTAACTGGGAGGGGAGTAAATATGTCAGTCAACTGCTTAGTCACACACAAACGTTGCTTAATCATTCACTTATGTACATACATATTTGTAGCTAATTGCTGAAAGTGAGTGTTGTTGCTCAGCCCGAGCTATGTACGCGGATTAGCGGCTAACAGGAAATCTCAAGGTGCTAATTGCAGCGATTCTTTGGCAACAAAGCTCGTATTTGCAATTGAAATTACTTCTTACAAATTTTAATGCTTTGTTTTTACAATTTTAATTGTTTGTTGATTTTTCCTTTTTATTTTAAAGTCAGATAACCATGGCTTAGTAAATAAGTATGTACATAAGTAAGAGGGAGAAGAGGGAGAGAATAGTTTTTTTTTTTTAATTGCTAAGAAGTGTTGGTAATTTGTTGAAGAACATAGCTTTATTTTTTACTTTTTTTGAATAAGAAAGCCCGCTTTATTTTCATTAAAATTTTTAAATTTTTTCTTTTTTCCATCAAATCAAATATCTAAACTAATATTTTTCCAATTTTTTCTCTTTTACATTTATACAATGAAAGTTAAGTCTTAAATTTATCCCTGAAATTAAGAAATTGTGAAAAGTTCGCCTAATCCCGAAAGTATGAAGCAACCCCCTTCAAAAATATTTTCGAAATATAGCCTTCCTAAAGCTTCACGCTTGACACCCATATAAAGATAATTGATTTTACTTTTTAATGAAACCGATTATAACTTTTTGAACAGGTGGCCACTCCATTCAAAAATAATTTACAAATAAATAATTTTGAACCCCTTTCGTTTGACATCCACATTTTTGTAAGATTTCATTTAACTTATATATTTACTAATAGATTTTAATGTGGCAACTCCTTTTAAAAATTTCTCACGCTTGACACCTCTCTTTTCAAAAATACCTACATAATTTCCAAATAAATATTTTTGAACACCTTTCGTTTGACATCCACATTATTGTAAGATTTTACTTAACTTACATATTAATTAGTAGATTTTAACTTTTCAAAAATGTGGCAACTCTCTTCAACAAATATAATATAAGATAATACAAAATTTCCAAATTTCATTGAAATGCATTAAGCCGTTTTAACGAGAAAGAGCAAGAACTTACTCACACTCACGCACAAGCTTTCACATTTATTATATTAGCAGGATTATTGGTGTTTTTTTTGAAAGAAAAATCGCAAACATTTTGCAAAATTTTGTATTTAATCAGAACTTGTATTTTTCAAAAAAAGAATAATGATATTTTAATGCTAGAAATATTTACCTAAAAAATTTGGAACATCCGCAATTGCTCTGAAACTTATTCAGTTATTTAAAAAAGTCTTAAATCAGAATTCAAGAATGCAATAGTGGCATTAAAAGCAAATATTCATCATTTATTTAACATAAATTTCGACTAACTAGTATGCATTATGGCCCACCACCGCACCTGCAACATTTGCTTTCCACCATATTTCATTTCTTTTTTTTTCGAAAATTCCTCCAACGCCTTAAATGCCCAAAGCATTTCACACATATTATTTCATTATTATTATTTCTTTTGTGTGTTGGTTTTTCGTTTGTATTTTTTTTTTGTTTTGTTTTGTGGACCATCGTTTGCCTCAAGCAATACAGCTGCACCTTAATTTGCATAGCATTAAAAAAATTTTATTTGAATTTTCATTATTTTTCGGTAATTAACTGCTCCTAGTTTAGCTGTTTATATGCATTTTTTTCTCGCTTATTGTTTTTGTGTTTCCATAGTTTCATTTAATTATTACCCGTACAGGCGAAAAATGTGACAGCGTCATTTTTTCTGGCAGCAAAGCGATTGCTATAGCTGCTTCTTCTTCCTTCGCTGCCGCTGCAATAGTTAAATATTTTTGTAGCCCACAAAAATTAATTAACAATATTATTAAAGCTGCGTCAGAGAGAGAGGGAAGTGAAGTGAAGAGGGCAACCAGGGTAAAAATGGCGCAAGGCGAGGCACAGCATGAGGCCGCAATCGTACATACACACACAGGTTTATAGCCATTAAATAGTTCACTTTTAGTCGCTTTTGACAGCTGACAAATTAGGCTGCCACGGCGACAAGCTAAATATTAAATAGTGTACCAACTAAAATGAAGAAATAAATTAACAAAAAACCAAAAACAAAAAACAACTGGCTAGTCTGCAAACTAAGCAAATCAGGGCCAGCTAATGCAGTCGCCAGCAAGTTGGTTGGCAACTTTTATGTTCAAGTTTTCTGTCTGGCTCCTAAAACTAAGCTGAAGATGAGCGCTTATGTATGTATGTTTATACCTTACACACACACACACATACACATATGTATGCTAATTAAATCATTAATAAAATTAATAGCCATATAAGGTAATAAATTTAAGATTTGACTTTGCTCCGAGTGCGGTAGAGTGCGTATTATGTATCTATAAATGGAAGAAGTTGTTGGCTGATAAGATCAAGTAATCAGCTTCAAAGCCGACAGCAAACGAATGTCTTTGTACAGAAAAATTCCTCTGCTTGACAGCTAGACTTTGCATTGCAAATTATCCCTTTATTTAAAATAATTTTATTATTACGATTTTCCTCTGACTTCTTCAATGCATTAATTTTTCTGTGTAAACTTGCCGCCTACGCGTTGTTGCATGCAACCAAGCGACTTTGCCTGTCAACGCCTGACAGCTGACATATTGACATGTGCCACGCAATGATATTCTTGACACTGAGATTTCTACACAGCCAACGCTAAGAAGTGCGCGCGGCGTTCATAAATAATTATTTGTGGAATTCTATTGAAAAATATTTGAATTTCACCTTTGTGACATTATTTATTAGTATGTATTATGAAGTTGTTTTGCGCGCGCGCAACAATGCTTTGAGATTTTAATTTCAATATTTTTTTTTCTTTCCATTCCAGGTCCACGCTATCGTCGCCCCAAGCAGCCAAAGGATAAAAATAATGATGAGAAACGGCCGCGCACTGCATTCTCCAGTGAACAATTGGCACGTTTGAAGGTAAATAATGAAAAAAAAATATAAAAATAAAAAATTTCAATATAAAATTATTATGCTAGCGAGTAGTGAATGCTAAAGTAGTATGTACAAGTGAACACAAATGCAAACCAAATGAGTTATGTATATCCAACCATGGGCTTCCCGCTCAAAGACGACTCTATCCCAACTCCACTCCTCTAAGGTACAATTTTTATAATGTTTGGAACTACTTAGGAATCTCTTCCGGCCTTAGGTCATACATATGCTAAGTGGTTCCTTGTTTCACGATCCATATAAAGCTCTATGCCTCTATGGCCTCCATGTCGCAAAACAAACAAGCATCTTCGGTCTCCTTCGGCTCCTAAGATAGCCGATTTTTCTTCTGTGGGCCGCCGTACCAATGTTAATTATAAAAAAAAAAACTTTATAGTTGGCTTCATGGAAAATACCGTAACGCCTACGCGACCTCCCGGTGAACTCGTGAAAAACCGTCCTAATTTTTGAGCTGAAGCTACTGCACTAGCAAATGGACATTGCCACCCACGACAGGTCGATCGCAAAGATCCCCGGATCTGACATTTAAAATTTAAGTTTTCGCAGCTGGAAATCCAGGTTAGTAAGTAGAAGTGGAAAGGGCACTTGAAGACCAGCAACTTCCCCGCTGGTGTGGGTAAGCTTTAGTTAACCGTGGTATCACTGTCCTTCCCCACGAAACGAAGTGATATCGGGGAAAAAATGTTCTATAAGAGCGTCTAGTCGGACCGGAAATGACGCGCGTGTTTTTTTTTTTGTTTTTTACGCACAATGCCCACTACATCCCTCTGTGGATAAGCCCAGAAGGCTGCACAACGTCCCAAACCGCCACCAGCCTCTTACTTTCACCAGCTATGCAATTCCGGTGGGCATCGGCAAGACAAAGCTTTCAAAGCTACTGATCCGCACGCAATATGCTTTTTGAAGATAAGCATTTGGGTTCGTTGGGTATAATCATTCGCTAAGGTTCCCGATTTGGAATGCTGCTGATAGGCGAAAGTCAGGAAGAGTGGTCGCACTTCCGTTAATTGCACCAGAATAACATTTAACGCCTTAAACGCCCAGGCTCCTCGAGGTTTTAGCCGAAACCGCCACTGTAAGAACCTTTTCTTGAGCGTTGAATTTGTCGAAGACCTTCGACATCGTTTATCACACTACTAGGGGGCGTTGGGACGTGGGACCCATGCATAAAAAGTAAGCTTTGGATCAGACTCAGCTTTCACAATGGCGAATTAAGCTCAAGATCAAGAATTTGTATTGAAAATTATCTCTCACATAAGCGCAGCATTAAGGGTATTCATTTCCTCTCCCTCTGAAAGTCGTTAATTAATAACCCACTACCTTGATTCCCCTCTCCCGCCAACGCCTAAAGTTTTGACCGCCCCTGCTCTCTCCCATAGCGACTAAAGCGTTGGACGGCGTATTATGCGAATGTTCGCCCCCGCTCAGTATATTTTTGAGATCAAATATCTAAGCCAAGACGAATTGACAAGGAGTCCCACAGACTGGTATCTTCTCCCAACCACTTTTCCACTACTATGTAACTACCGAAAATCCCGAGCCAGCAATGCGAGTTTCAGTGTTCTCATGCGCTGACGACCGGTCGATATTGGCGTGTGGCACAGCCATTAATGACCTGATTTAAAAAATAGATAAACGTCTATATCACCGATCTTTCTCTCGCGTTTTTACTGCCCGGAGCCTTACCCTTTCGCCTACAAACTCACATGCTATCGCATATCTAGCACTTCATGAATGAAATTTCCATTATATGCTTGACTTTTTTTGTTTTGGTTGATCAAATCTCAAGCCATTTCCAAGGTTATTTGCAAATTTATAGCGTCAGCTAAATTGTCACAATATCCTTTTTACAAACTCTCTCAAGCATGTCTAATTTTCTACTTCCGTGCCCAAGTAAATGCGCTACAAATCTTCTCTTACAATACGCCAACAGAGATTTGTATTTAAAAAAAAAAATAAAAATCCTTCGAAATTTTATATTTATTTTTATTGCGTGCCATATTTCCAAAATATTTACACTCAGACGCAGTTCGACACCCGTGGGGCGTAGCAAACAAGGAGGAAGAAAAAAACTTCGTTTAAACCTATTTTACTTGCATTCAGAACGCATCAAAACGGTGCAAAAACAGAAAGTATGTAGTAGAAAAATGAAATAAGGCTTATCTGTCAAGATAATTAAATACGCCCCTGGTAGTGCAGAGTGCGTACGCTACATACATATGTGTGGATGTATGAGCATTAGGGTGGTCAAAAAATGCATGTGAAAAAGTAAAGTCGGAATTATTATGCTCTCACCCCCTGAGAATGTTCTATATCGAAAAAAATAGACCCTATTTTTATTTATTTTTTTTTTATTAAAAATATAGTTAGAGGTCGCTCAAAGCGCTCAAAGATTTCAATGTATTTTATATGGGGAAAAAACCACTTTTCGTAGAAATGGTATAGAGTTCTTGAAAATCAATATTTTTCGAGCAGAAAACGCTCTTTCTGTTCATGAGATTTTAAATAATAATACCCAATAATTTATTTAACTAGTTTTTCATAGTAACTTTATTTTATAGGTCTGCCAAAACAACCAGAAAATGCCAGGAAACGCAATGGGGGGATAAATAAAAAATCTTTAATATTAAAAAATGGTTAAAAAAACAATTATGTGTTATTATTGGAAGTCTCCTGAAGTAAACCAGATTTTTCCTATCGAAAAATATTGATTTTCAAAAATGGCATACCACTTCTATGAAAAGTTGTTTTTTCCAACATAAAATACACGGAAAACTTTGAGCGACTTCTAAATTTTTTATGATTTCAAAATTAAGCATTAAAATTCCGATGTTACTTTCTTAGGACCACCCTAATCTGCATGCATGCTAGAATATTACGTGCTTAGCATGCAGCAACCACAACAAAAACACGTCAAACAATGGCAAATCTAATGCTGGAGTTGGAGCAGAGGCTTCAGGATAGTTAAATGGATGAGGACACATGTGTGCAGTTACGAGTACAGATATATACATATACATATATATGCATAGATACATACAGTGTGCATGCTCTTGCCTTCAAGACGCTAGGTTTGCTTGTCCTGTTGTTCTCTCTGCTTTAGCCGGTTCCAATTAGCTATGGTCAATATATTATTTTCACTCCTAGCGGGGCTCTATGATTTTTCTTACCTTTTCCTAAATTTTTCTTACTTGCGAGCTCGCTCGTTCCCTCTCGTTCTCTTTCTCTTCCCCCCTGAGACTTAACCGCAAATAATTGATTCGCCTTGCCTGTTGTTTCTTTGACGCCTTTGTCTGCTGCTTAGCATTAGAATTTACTATTCTAATTTTTTTGTTGTTGTTGTTATTCTAACAATTTATTAACTTCATTATTTTCTTTTCTACTTTATTGCAGCGCGAATTCAATGAGAATCGTTACCTTACCGAACGTCGCCGCCAGCAGTTGAGCTCGGAGTTGGGTCTGAATGAGGCGCAAATCAAGATTTGGTTTCAGAATAAACGCGCTAAAATCAAGAAATCTTCCGGTTCGAAAAATCCACTCGCCTTGCAGCTGATGGCACAGGGTCTATACAATCATACGACAGTGCCGCTGACGAAAGAGGAGGAAGAATTGGAGATGCGTATGAATGGGCAGATACCGTAAGATGGGCTGAGTGAAGAGGCGGTAGGAAGATTTCGTATGCTATGAGCTATGAGTGGTACGATGATGACGTCGCGTGCAATAAAATAGGGGCGGGCGGGAGCCAGCAGTTGAGTTGTGAAGAGGAGCCTGTTAGGAGAGATGATATAAATAAGCTTAAAGAAGAGTTTGTTATGTGATATAAGTATGTAAAAGGAAAACAAACGAAAATTAAAGAGAAACAATAAAAATAAAAATAAAATAAAAAATTTCAAGTAGCAAATTTAGTGAAAAAATTACAATAAATTATCCTGCACCTATTGTAAATATTAATTAAAGTTAGTGCTTTAGCTGCAACCCTAAAATATTTTAAGCAAAACACTTCAATCCACACACACACACACACATGTGGAGCACTCACTCCCTCCCATACTATAACTGCTTTCATTACTTGTAATTTTTATTGTAAATAATTGTATTTATTACTAGCGTCTAATTACAAATTAATGTAAAAGTATTACTCTCGTCAATGTATGTACATACATATATACCTACACACCTTTTCGCACTCATTTCAATTCCATCATTCAAACACACTCCCCATTGGTATCGTTGGAAATTACCTGCAATTGTATTATACGTAGCAGCATTGCTAGCATTTGTCTGCTACTTCGTTCTTAAGTAAATTAATTTTTTCCTTTTGTTTTCTTAGCGTAATTTATTTGTAATAACTTTGTAAAAACAATTTTGAAATATCTAGTATTTTTTTGTAGCTCATAAGCACCGCTGTAGCATTAAAATAATTTAAGCCGCTTTAAATTTTAAGGTATTCAAGCAAACGCATACTTACTGTATTAAAAATTTATATATTTGTTTTTACTATACTTAGTTTTAAAGCTCGAAAAAAAGAGAATACATCGTTCAAGAAAAAAAGGAAACGCGCAATACTTGGCTTAAAATGCACATTTACTTGCGCAGAAATATGTATGTAAAAAAAATAAACAACTATGTATATCCTATTTAAAAATAATGAATACAAATTAAATTAAAAGCGTTAAAAATGAAATATGTTCAATAAAAACTATATGAAAAATTAAAATTTATGAAAATTTCATTAAAAATTGTTAGGTGTATTTTAGTGAGAGCCGCTCGTTAGGTAAATACATACATATTATATGCTGATTATCATGAATCTGCCCTTTTCTAAAACATATATTAAGGCTTTGTTACAAACACTGGCTCATAGGTGGCGCTATTGGCGCCTAAAGGTATTCAACCACAAATCTTCCTTGGTAGCCATGGCCTTACCGAACTTTAAATTGAATTTTAATATATAATATATCCTTCACTTTTTAGTTTACGGCATTTCTGTATGGAACACAGTATCCTTAAAATGCCCACTACGGCTCCTCAGGTACATATAAAAATTTTCTATGACTTTTTGACAAACTTCGGGCTATAACGCGTATGATTTCGATCGTCAGCTCTGGAATTGCATCGGGATTATTGGCATAGACCGTACTTTTCTCGTAGCCCCAGAGAAAGTAGTTCAATGGTGTCAAATCGCAAAGAACTAGGCAGTCATGTGACTTCGTTGTTTACTCGGATAATGCGTCCTGGAAATTACGTTCGCAATTGGGCAATTGTTTCATGCGCTGTGTTGCAAGTGGCACCGTTCTGTTGAAACCGCATATTATCCAAGTCCATGTCATCTAATTCGTGCTATAAAAAGATCTCCTTTTTCAAGCATCCAATTGATATATAAATATAGCGCTGCAAATGGTCTCTCTCCTTTAGTTCCTCGGTTAACTGAATTTTGTTCTCGTGTAAGTGCTGTGGAAAGGATTCAATTGTTGTGCAATTTCGTGATGACGAATTATTGAAATTGTCGTGGCTTGCTCCGCATTTTGAACGACCTGTACCAAGACGCACGGGTAACGATTTGCACCTACCAGTTCCTTCGAATTTATGCACCAATCAGCTGATTGTAAACTCAGATGGCCGCTTATGTTGACTGAAAATATCACACAACGCGCGATATGTACTCAACTGAGTAACGTTCCATGACTAAGTTTACCAAAGCCTGTAGTACCAAAAAGAAGGCAATTAAATCTTTTCGTGGACGGAGTTAGGTCAGATAAAGTTAGATTGAAGTGGCTACTGAACTTGGAGGAAAGTTGGCACACCTAAGTCCAAAAAGAGGGGCCCATTATGATACCATATGGATCCAGAAACAATTCTCTTTCTTAGGAGTTGCGCTTGGATCACCTAAAAACCCTATGCCCAGGAATTTCTGTTTTTACCTACAGTGAATTCTTCATTGATTCAGGCTCTTCTTCGTCGTAGCAGCTCTTGCAGTAGGCATTGTGGCAGTAGATAAATATGTCTTGTGAGTAGCCCGACGGTAATTGACATTTCACATCTATTGAGAGTGAGAATCTATCTTGATCTCCTTATGCCCCATTCAGGCCACACAAGCGAACAATAGCTTTAACTTTGGGCTTTTCAAATCTTTCAGTTGTCAATAATCCCGATTTCGGCCCTTTTCATTTTACACTCCCATGCCTCATTTCATTAGAAATATCTTCTTCGTCATTTGTGATGTGGAATTAAACTTAGCATGAACTTTGTATACATATATAAGTATATACATGTGTATGTAAGTATGCATGCAATTCTCAGCGGCTGGCAATTTTGCAAAAATTAGCATCATTACACATTTGCTAATTGCCTCATTTGATTTGAAAAAAAGCATTTACACATTGTACAGAAGCGCATTGCCTCCACATCTCTGAAGGTAAAATTACAAATAAGTGTGAAATAAAAATATTTGTTTTACAAATATTAAAATCTGTGATATCGATTTGTTTAAGAGAAAATTCAAAATCCGCTAAACGATACTTTTTGAATTTTATATAATAATTTTTTATAAAATGCACCTATGGACTTCCCATCCGGTACCATCGAGATACGTTCGGACCACTGGTGAGACATGCGGCCAAGCATTGACAAGGTGGCAGATCAATGACTCATGTCTGGTTGTCCATTCCGGCGGTTTTTGTGCAATCACTCGCTTCAATTGTATCAGTCGTTGTCTTTAGAGAGCCGCGTCGATCGTTGGACCACCTTTCAGAAGCTCGTGATGCAGGATTATCTTTGGCCACACAAAAATGAAATCACAGATATTTGGCTTTGGCGTCAATGGTACGGGTTCGCTGTCTTCTGGCTCTTTGGATTATCGTAATGAATCCTTTTTTCAACGCTGCTGAAAATACAATCGAAAAACGACTTCGATTTGTGCCGTTGAAGAGTCATTTGGAAAACAGTAGCACGCCGTTTTTTGAGTTCGATAGGCACCCAGTTTCCGGTTTCTGGATCATACCAATGGCTTTCAATCGCAATTAAATGTCATTTTGACTCACGCCTAATATTTCCGCAAGTTATTTTTGAGTATGGAATGGGTCTTTGTCCAAAATTGCTTCAAAACATAGAAAGGGAAAGCATACTCGTCGTACCAAAAAAAAAAAAAAATTGAAATGACATAGACTGTACAATGTGGTTAAAAGATGACGCTTTAACATGAAGTTGGCTGCAACATTGTACGGTATGCTTAAATACTACTGACGCCCTCTGTTGGCTATCCTTTAAAACTTTCTTGTATACGGAATAATATTTAGTATAATGAAGTGTATACAAAAATTTTCGAACAGACGAAAAAAAACATCAAAACAAAATTATCAAAACTCCATGGGACTTTTAACCAAACTCAAACTAACTAAATATGAAACTGCGTACCAAGAATTATCCTAAAAATTCGAATTAAAAAATTTGTAATTTTTGGTGAGAATTTGAAGAATTTTCTAATTTTTGTACAAAGTTTGAAATTTGGATTTATGTGGTTTTTGACATAATTACTCCGGTCGTAGGTGTATTTTTTTGGAAGCACTCTTAAGCAACCGCAAATCCCAAATAGTGGACACTGAATTTTATGATTTTTTGTTTATCTCTTCTATGCAAAACTCTTAATTTTTTTATTTCAAAATCTTAAGCGTAGGGTCTTCCGAACTCCTCAAACTCCCTTCCATAGTTTTCGCTCATCGAGTGTGCAATTGCGTGTGCGTTCTTTAGGGGCAATTGAAGTTCATCAGCGATTTTCGCACGTCTAATTGGATGGAATTCCCGTGGATGACAGGCGGCATTTAATTGCGCCGCATACGAAAATGTAAATCACAACGTGGCATGTGCCATGTCACATAAAGTAAAAAAATTACAAAAAAAAATTGGAATAAAAATGCACACAGCGACACAAATGCGGACAGACGAAGCGACGATGGCAAGCGATCGATGTGCCGAAAAAAAATTCATATATCGCAGCTGAAAAAAATATGCGACGGGAAAATGGGAAAAAGACAGCAACTAAAAGTCACTAAATACACACATACGTATCTACAAATGTATGTACTTGTGTGGCATGATGCAACACAGTATGTAGTAAGTAGTAAAAAGTGTTGCAAGTTAGAGTGCGCGATCGTTTTCTTTTGTCGCCTGCAATTAAAATGAAATCAAGCAAACTAGAAGTATCGCTCCTACACCGACGTTATTGTTGTTGTTTTTCCCCCTACTTTGAAGGGCATATGCGCTAGGATTTTCGTAATTTAGTATAGCGCACACGGGGAGCACTCTGAGTGATTTATATGCATTTCACTTGCCTGCTGCGGCATAAATAAATCGACTTAAGCGGCAGTGATCATAACGCGAGCGCACAAACACAAACACACACACATACACACACTCACACTCACGCTCAAACTCATAGTCAAAGTACATATTTATGTATATTTAATTGCCAGTGCGCGTACACGCATTGACACATGTGTGAGCTATTGAGTTTTGTGAGTTTTGGAGCGACTGGCAAAGCAGGGGGATCGCGCGCCCAACTGACAGATGCTTTGATTTTCACTTTGACGCTTCCTTGCCTTTGGCTGTGCAACACATTTAATTACACACATCAAAACGTGCCATTTATCGGCAGTGCGCCTAGCTGCTTGGCGCGTTGCGCCCCATCACCCCGAACCCCCCACATATCTTTTCTTTTTCTTTGTGTGGTCGCTCGCATTTGCAGTTTGGTGTATTAATTGCTTTTGCGCGGCGCTGCCAAGCAATGGACGGACTAAGCAAGCCACCAACCCACTTTGTTGTCGACACAATATTCGATTTTTTTTGTTCTTTCATAATT